GTGGAGGGACAGGGTCCTCACCCCATGAAGTCTAGGTGACTCATGGGTCCTCAGTCCTTGGTCAAGTCTTATTAGACGTTCTTTCTGTCCCTCCTGCCAGCGCATGATAAAAATGAACTAAAACACACATCTTAGACCAGAACCAGGGGATATTGAACGCTTTAAAAGTATCACGGTTGTATGCTGAGTAAATCATCTGAGTAGGTGGATTATATCAAGGAGAATGTGGCATCAGGGTTATAAGAAGACTCACTAACAGCCAGTGATATGCAGATGATACAACCTTTCTTGTTAGAAGTGAAGAGAGCTTAAAATACTGATGAAGATCAAGACCACAGCCTTCAATATGGCTTGCACCTCAATATAAAGAAAACAAAAATCTCATCACTGGACCAATACGTAACACCAAACCTGCCGACAGTACCCATTTGACCTAGCCTCAATGGCTTGATAATCAGAAGCCAACTAGAAGAAGATTACCAAAAAAAAAAAAAAAAATTTTTTTTTTTGATAAAGGAAACAAAAGTAAATTGCTACAATTTGATGAACCTGACCTATAATCATGGAGGTAGTAACTCTAAAAACCAACAGAGAGGGAAGGAGTCTTCACATCAAGTATCAATGCTATCCCCTCTGTACGCAGGGTAGATAGGGATGGGCAACTTCGACATTGGCTACCTAAAATGAGGGGGCAGTAAAGGCACAAAGTGACTGGCTTACAAGGTTTCAAGAGGAAGTTTAGTTTAAGAGTGGGGGAAAGAAAGAGTCCCCGCTGAATAGTTTTCATCTTGTGTAGATGGGTCTGGTGAAAGAGATGGGGATAAGATTTGTATGATTCAATAGTGAGTAATTGTTATGACTAATTGCAACTGTCACAATTATAAAGTTAGAAGTTTTGTAACCAAAACAGGGGAGTGGTTAATCTTACAGTCCAGAAACAATTAATCTTACAGTCCAGAAACAGATGGACCGTAGGACCATCAAGAGAGAAGAGCACAAGCAGAATGCAGGACCTTATCCAGAGAAGCTAGAGACAGAGGCAAAGATGGGGTCCTGGAGAGAGGGAGCAGCTGAGGACTCTAGATTCATGGGAAGAAAGGGACTGAGAGCTGGTGGCCAGGAGGCAGACTTTCAGAATGTGCCCTTTGGAAGTGTAAATTATTATATTTTCTTGAGTGTTGGGTTTTGTTTTGTTTTTTTAAAGCTAAAGTGAATAGAGAGAAATACTGTTAACTGTTGGTACATGGAGGGGGATATAATAATTGAAATGAAACAAGGTGTATGATTTGTTGAATGTAAAACTGATGAGCTGCCCTGTAAACTTTCACTCAATCCACAATAAAAACCTTAAAAAAAAACAACTTATATATGCATATATACAAAGAGAAGTTTATACCAAGGAAATGGCTCACAACTGTAGAGGTGTAAGAATCCAAGTCCAGATCAGCTGAGCCAAGATTGGCAGGCGGGGCCCACAGAAGTCCCAGGTCCGGGCCAGGTGAATCAAGATCTGCGGGTAGACCCAGAAGGCAGATGAGCATACAGTCTGGGCACAGAGCAGGAATGCGGTGCCGGAGTGGGTTCAAAAGCAGAGTGATGGGGCGACCTAGGCCCTGGCAGACTCACTGCAGAGCCAGCAGTGTGGAGAAAACACTCGGGGTGGCAGCAGAGGGCATAGAGGGCCAGTTTTCCCGGCAAGTGGGTGCAAGCACCGCAGACTGTCCCTAGCTCTGCTTCCAAGTGCACTCCGTGCAGTGGCAGACAGACACAGTATAGAGCAGGCCACTGGCTCAGGTTCAAAGAACCAGAGGTTGGAGGCTGACCTAGATTCCAGATCCAGATCTAACAGGAAAGAGAGCTATGTGTCTCCCTAACATTGGGAGCAGGCCTCACCCACAAGGAAACAGCCTTTCAGTTGATTGGCTTATCATAGCCAGTCATCAGGGAGTTCACTACCAACAGCTAAACCATTAGGAATCCTGGCCCAGTCAAGCTGACATCAAACCTTAACTGTCACGGGTGCCATCAAGTCGATTCCAACGTGTAGCAACACTCTCAGTTCCACCATAGTGACACAACAGAACGAAACACTGCCAAGTTCTGTGCCATCCTCACAATTTTTGTTACGTTTGAGTTCATTGTTGCTGTCACTTTGTCAGTCTGTCTTGTTGGTGGTCGTTGTTGTCTTTTTTTTTTTTTTTAATGCTTTATTGTGAATTATGTGATAGTTTACATGAGAGAACATTAGCTTCACATTTATCCCATCGCATATCGTTTCCTTGCCATGGTTACAATCCCCACCATGAATCATCCACCAACCAAACGGTACACCCCCGGTAGTCAGCACACAGGCTCGCTCCCTCTCTGAGTCCAAAGTCCCCAGCCACTCCATCTCTCTATGTCATCGTCTCTGCATCCATCTCTGGCATTACTGCTTCTCTGGGTAGGCTTCCGTTCTCCGCTCTTCTCCCTTGATGGTCCCAGGGACCTCCGCTCCTAGACTGCAAAGTTATTCACTCCCCTCCTTGCTACAAAACGTCTACCTTTACATTTCCAATCCTCACACTCAGTCCTGATAACAATTATTCACTATTGTATCACAAGAGACCTATCGCAACTCCTTTCATCAGCCCCATCTAGACAGATTGGATACTACTCAGTGGAGATTCTGCCTTGCTCCTCGCCCTCTGGATCTAGGTTTCCTCTTGAAAGCTTGTAAGCCAGTCACTTCTTACCTTCGTAGCTCTCCCATTCTGGGTAGCCAATGTCCAAGTTGCCCATCCCTGTCCTTTCCGTGTGTGGAGGGGGTGGGAATGATCCTTGCTGTGAAGATTTGTTCCCTCTTTTGAGCTACTGCGTCCATAGGTGTAGGTCAAGTTCATGAAATTGTATCAGATTACTCTTTTTTTCCTCTTCTTTCTTCTACTAGTTGAGCTCTGATCATCCAGTCATTGAAGCCAGGTCAAGTGGGTATTATCTGCAAGTGTGGGCATTCTTGTGTATATGCCATCTCTTCTTATCAGTTGGACACTTCACTCTCCACTCTAGTCCTCTGTGGCTATGTCACTGACTCTGGGTCCAAGAGTCCCCTGTACCTGCCACCCTGCTGGCCAACCAGGTCTCCACCACAGTTCACAGGAGTCTTTTGAACATTGTAGGTCTTAGCTCGCAGCTTCATTGCTGCTCTTCCCTCACTTTCCCTTATCGGTGACGAACGTGGTCACCAATCAGAGTGTGTATTCTCATTGAGCCTTAGTCTTAGAAGGAGGTTTGCCCTGAGGGGACCCGACCACTTGCCTTGATGTCTCCTGGGTGAGCCACTTGTTTGTTCTTGTAATAATTGGTTGGTCTGCCGCTATAGTTTTGCGTTTTTCCTGTCTTTCTTTCAAGTAGTATCGTCTGTTCTTCTGGCTGCTCCAGGCTGGTCTGCTTGTCTTTTCAAGTGGAAATTTCCCCTCAGGAGATTCTGGATGAGGTTCAGGATTCCACCTCTAGTCTTATGTAATGCAGAGGCTCCGCAGGAAGCCGCCTTCACTGGGCATATTGTAGCCCCATTTTAGATATTCCAATCAGTTATAGGCAGAAGACAGACTTACAAGCTTTCTATGGTGATATTTCTGGCTATTCCTTTTTCTCCCCCTCCAGTGTCTAGTTTATAATGGTATGCCAGGGAAACCAAGATCCAAAAGATAGCCAATCATCTTAACATTTACCCCCTTTTCCCCATTCCAGCCATGTCTCAATCTCTGTATCGCAGAGCTCTGTTGTTCCGAGGTTGTGCATACATCATTATTTGCCTCTGTCCCACTTCAGCTTCACATTCATTTGATCATATTTCATTTCATTGCAATGATTACAGTCCCCTCCATGCATCATCAAATAACCAAAGGATACACCCCACAGGCCCGCCCGCCCCCTGGCTGTCAGCAAACAGCTCCTCTCCTCCCTGAGTCCCGTGTCCCCAACCACTCCCATCTTTCCACACCATCATCTCTGTCTCCATGCCTGGCCTCACTGCCTCTCTGGGTAGGGTCACACTTTTCGCTCTTCTGGCTTGATGGTCCCATGGACCTGCAGGTTGTCTTCTTTTTCACTGACCCTCCACAGAGGCAGAGTCTCCCCCTCCTGGCTGCACTTCCTCCAACACAGATTTGTTTGTTCTTCTAGCAGCCCATGGGCCTTTCAGTATTCTTCTCCAGCAACTTAGCTGAAATGCATCAGTTCTTCTACAGTAGTCGTCATTCCTTGTCCACTGTTCTCTAACCATGGAATAGATACACCATGGAATGCCGGAGAAAAGCGAATCTGTCTCAGGATGATCCTTAAGTAAGGGTGGCGAGATTTCATCTCACATGTTCTAGTCCTGTTACCGGGAGGGACCGGTCCCTAGACAAGAACATCATGCTTGGTGTAAAGTAAGTGGAGGGTCAGCACAAGAGAGGAGGACTTCCAGTGAGGTGGATTGGTACAGTGGCAGCATCATAGGGCCTAACCCTGGGGTGGTACAGGACCAGACAGTGTTTCATTCTGTTGTACCTCGGGTTGCTGTGAGTCAGAGCCAGCTGACCTGCACCTAATGGTTGATTTTTGTGAGGCTGATTATAAATGTCGCCAGTGGGATTATTTCAATTTGCTGCCTCAAAGCTGTGGTAGAGCTTTCTTGGGTCCTCTTGGAATTAGGGTGCAAGAAGTGAGTGGCTGAGACACCTTAGAAGTAAATCCAAACTTTGCACTTGCATGTGAACCATTTTAACTTGAATGAGTTTGGGGGGAAATGCTATGGGTCCAGCTGAGAGCGTTTGCCTGTTCTCCACCAAGACTTCCAGTGCAGGGATTGTTCCTGAACTCGTGCCTGTCTCATGTGTCCTAGAAAGTGCCTACCTAGCCCACCTTGGCCTAGGGGGACATACGTGCCTACCAGCACCAGTGTGTGTGTGTGTACATGTACATGCATGTCCTCTCAACTTCCTCTCAAGCTATGTGTTTGCTGTGTTTTACAGATTATTGGCTGCAAGGTGAGGAGAGACCCCCCAAACTCCACTGAGCGATACACGCGCTGGATCAACCAGCTGTCGGCTAATCAGCTTCTCACCCAGGTATGTCCCGGTTCTCTGCCATGTTTAGTCCCTGTGTGCCCCTAACCACGTGAGCATTTCTGCCAACAGTATCTACCTCATATTGCCGTGTGTGTTTGGCTGTTGGCAGGAACTGTCCAGCATGGGTCTCGGCTGTGATAGTATGGAGCTGCTGTTGGAGACATGCATGTCTTCTAATGGTTTCAGACTGCTTCATGTCTGGACAAGGCAATAGAAGCTTGTGGTGTGGAGAGCCCATGGATGCATGGTTTCTTGGGGAAGGACTTTTTGTCAGACTCTGAGCCGTTGATGCCTGTCATTAGAAGAACCAGTAGACACAACATGTTTGCTTTCATTTGTTCTTTGTAGCATTTATAAATTAATAGAAATCTGAGTCTTGTCACACTTAGTACTTCATGGAAACAACAAAATTATAAAATGAAGTTGGGATTTTATCATGTTAAGTTTAGAGTTGATTGTGAGATGAATCTAGAAAAATTATCTTCCAGTCTTCAGAGCTTATGGATGCTTCAGTTGAAGAATTTGGGGGCTGGGGTTGATGTTAGGCACAGGGTGGGCAGGGGGTCTCCTCCTCTAGTGCCTCCATGTCCCTTACCAGCCGCATCTGCTGCTCTGCAGTCTCTGTTCCCCTTTCTTTCGTGCAGCCCTCCCTAAGCCCCATCTCTCCACCCCTCCTCTTGTCTGCCCCTCTGCTCTGCTCTAGCCACACCCCTCCTTAGAAGGAATAGATACTCTTCTCCCTATTGTAGGCCAGAAGGAACCCCAGTGGCAAGATGAGTTAAGCACAGGGCTACTAATGGAAAGACGGGTGGTTCCAAGGCAGCAGCAGCCATCCCACAGGAGAAAGACAAGGCCATCATGATCTGTAAAGGTAGCGGCCGTGAGAACCCCGTGGAGCAGTTGGGATCGACACACCAGCTGTGGGTTTTACAGGCAACAGGCTGCCTGGTTCTAACACCGAGGTTGTAGGGAAACACACCGGCATGCACACGACATGATGAGTTTCCTGCCACCCCTGTCCTGTGGTTTGTTTTAAACTCTGATTATGCAGAGTCATTTTAGCCACATTGTGCCGTGTTCTCTCCTACCACCTCACTGTGTGCCACATTCTCTCCAGTCACACGCTATGGTCTCTCCCATCACAGGTGGGCTCTCAAACATCCCATTTTCCATGTAGATTTGATTCTAGTATGTTGAGGAGTTGACTGTTCATCCTTGGCCTTTCATTGTTTGGAACTGGGAAAGTGAATTAATTTTCCAGCTGCTACCAGCTAGTCACCTGGCAAGAGAGCATCTCAGATTTCATGTGGGAGATTTCGTTTTGTGGTGGTCGTGGTGGGGTTCATAAAATTCTTCAGAGATACTGATGATTAGGTATGACAGAGCTGCCTGACCCACCAGAGGGCTACACAGTCTCTTCCTGCACATGGTTGCCCCCATGGACCTCTCAAGAACATGGCCCCACATGACACGGAACCCCCCGGGACAGGGGCCCTTTAGCTGTCTGGGAAGAGACCACACGGCGTCACCTTCTGCATGAACTTAGGTGCAAAGACTGTTTCACATTCTGGCTACAGATTTGCCTGCCTCTTCTCATCTTTCAAAGGAGTGCTGGTAGCACAGTAGTTGGCTGCTTGTTGCCCGCATCTCCGATGGAGAAAGGTGTGGTGATCTGCTTCGGTAAACATCACAGCCTTGAAAACCCAAAGAGGCTGTTGTGCTCCGTCCAAGACTCAGTGGCACCAGGTAACCCATCTTCTAGTCAGCATGTGATCTGTACTTGTTACTGTTTGGTGCTGTTAAGTCAGTTCCGGCTCATAGCGACCCTGTAGAGAGTTCCGAGGAGCAGATTCCAAGGTGAGTTTGAACCACCAACCTTGCCATTCAAACTGACTTTACAGTCCAGCGCTTACCCTCAGCCTCACACCAGGGCTCCGCAGTGCCACATTACACATGTAGACAAGAGCGTGCAGCTGGTCACTGGAGTTTCCCTTTGTCTTCCCACGGGAGACGTGGCCTTAGCACATGTACAGGGTTTTAAAACATGGCATCTTTTTCCTATCAAAGAAGTCTAACTGACTCTTGGGGGCAGGGAGATAGCGACATAGCGAAAGCTCTCCTATTCCTAACTGGATGTTGAACATTACACATTCGGGACTCAGATCAGCCATGGGTCCTTGCTGGCCGCCCAGCGGTGGCCCTGGAGCCGGGGGGGCAGGAGATCAGGGCCACATCAGGAAGAGCTAGCTTAGAGAGAAAGTGAGCAGAGCATGTTCTCTAACTGCTGAACCCACACTCATGCAGTGTTTTTGGTTTTCTGGTACAAGTGTGAGTCATGTGGAAACTATGCAACTAGACACCGAGAACACGGTCTAAAGTCTATTTTGATGGAGTAGGCACATTTTCAACCAGGATTATGTAATAGAATTAAGGTAGCTTCCTCTTCATTAGTGTGTCAGAGGACATGGAAGTCTGGAGTTCCCCAGCATAAAGTAACTGAAAGATGTGTCTGAATCAGAAATCACTGCAGATATTTAATCAGGTGACTTGGCTGCACATGGCAGTGATGTTCCTGGTTTAAATGCAATCGCATTGATGATGTGAAAGTACAAATATTTTGGCGTGATTTTTGGTATGTCTACTTTAAATGTTTTATTAGACATTTACCATATTCAAAGTGAAAACAGCACTATAAAAGCTAAAACCGTACTCCTTCCTGAAAAACTCAAAGGAGAAGACAGTTGTCCATACCTTTGGACATGCGTCGATTCAAAAGTGTTCGGTTCTTGACAGTGCCTCTGGGACTGGTTCAAGTTAACATCCCTTTTCTTACTGGGAATGTTCTCGAGGCACCTATACCTCCTGAATCCCCCAGGATTGAGGAGAGTCGTGGTGGGACTGATTCCGGGCCATCTTAGATGAGGTCCTGGCACCTTGAAACAGGTGGCTGGGCCCTTAGGGCTGCATCCTTGCTTTGTATCTTTTAACAAAGTGAGCGGAGACGAGTGGGCTTGGGTGGATCCCACCTCGTCCCCCGACACCTTCTGGCTGCACCTCCACACATCTCCTCTTGCTGCCTTCCTTGGGAACATCCCGGTACTGACTTTGGATTCACCTCTTGGCTCCTCTGCTTGCCCCGCCCCCAGCTTTATGTCTCTTCCTTCCTCCTGGAGACACACCTTCATGGCTGGGGTGTAGTTAGAGCAGCACTGAAGACTCCTCTTCCTTAAATCCTGCCACTGCCGTACTGTGCTCCTGTGTTACTCCACATTTATGTCTTTTGCAACATCCCCCCTGATATTTAAGGAGCTCTGGTAGCGTAGGCAGTGGTTACGAATCGGGCTGCTAATCTCAAGGTCAGCAATTCGAAAGTCCCAGCTGTTCCACGGGAGAAACATGAGGCTTTCTGCTCCCGTAAAGATTTACAACTTCAGAAACCCTGTCCAGGGTCCACTATGAGTCGGAACCGACTCCACAGTACTTAACAGCAACAACGTGGTATCTAGCATGACGTTGGTATGTGCTGTTGGGTTGGTTCTGACTTGCAGAGACTCTGTATAGTGTTTCTGAGGAGCAGCTGGTAGATATGAACCACTGACGTTGTGGTTAGTAGTCCAGTGCTTATCCTACATCACCACACCAGGACTCTAGTATGTAGTGTGGTGAATGAGGGAAAATCCTACATCTTAGTGCACTAGCACTTAGGTGCAGTCAAGTCGGTTCCAACTCATAGCAGCCCCCTTATTCATTATGTCCAACTGCCCCATCCTGCACCATCCTCACAGTCTTTGTTAAGCTTGAGCATCTCACTGAAGGGTCTCCTCTTTTACGCTGACCCTCCACTTTACCTAGCATGCTGTCTTCTCCGGAGACTGGTTCCTCCTGAGAACAAGTCCAAAGTATGAGATGAAGTCTGGCCGTCCTGGCTTCTAAGGAGCATCTGACTGCACTTCCTCCAACACAGATTTGTTTGTTCTTCTAGCGGTCCATGGGCTTTTCAGGGTTCTTCTCCAACAGCGTGACTCAACTGCATCAGTTCTCCTCTGTGGTCTTCCTTATTCGCTGATGGAAACACCGCCGTCAGAAGTGTGTCGTGCTACTTGGAGGCTATAGGAGAAACAATAGAACTCCACATTTTGGTGTTCTCATTTACTAAAGGGTTCTATAATTTGACAGGGAGTGTAGTGGCTCAGTAGGATAAACACTGAACTGCAAACCTCCAAGTCACTGGTTTGAACCTACCAGCTGCTCTGTGGGAGAAAGATGAGGCTTTCTGTTCCTGCAAAAATTTACAACCTTAGAAAACCAATAGAGGCTTGCTATCAATGATACTTAACAACAACATGGTTTTATAGCAGGGCCTTTTGACTTGCCCCCGCCCCCCCCCCAACATAGATTTTGAAGTCCCTGATATCAGTGATGGGCTTGTTAAGGTTGTAGCATTGTTATCCTTATGTTAGATCCCAGAGACACTTGCTGACTTCCGCCCAGACTCCCACGCAGGCTTTTCTCCAGGACCATCTTCTGCCCTCTCAGTTTCCATTCTTTCTTTGTCAGCTGCCATCCTAAATCTTTAGTTCTAATAGAAAATATGTTGTTAAACATTAACTTGGCTCCCTTTTTTGGGTGATTCAGGATTTATCTTGGCTGAGTTTACATTTTCCCACTGCAGTGATCACCTCAGCATCTCAACAGATGAGCTCTGGCATCCACATTCCAGGGCCATTGAAATGGCCCTAATCAGCAGCTACTCGCCCCCTGGTTTCCCTCTGCTTCCTGACCACACCCACAGTGGAAGCTCTTTTCAGTGGCCTCCCAGCTGTCTGAGCCTCCCACAACCTCTGTTGGTTGGGCTCCTCAGATGCTGCTTCACACCTGTTATCCCACGCTCAAGAAATTCTCCTGGCTCCCTATTCCTGAAAGGCTGGCAGTCACACTCTGTCTCTCCTAGCACCACATGCCTACCTTCTGAGTGCTTCTCCTGGCTTACTAAGCAGCCA